ATAAATTAAATAATCTCCTCAAGATAATGGCAATAGGCCTCAAACAGCTAAAAAAGTTAAGTGTTGGCTAATTGTGTATGGTCCTTACTACTAATTTCCCAGTAGTTGGAGTGAATATTTGGATCTTTTATCTATGTGCGTAATTAAAATCAGATAACCTGACAAGAGAGCATCTAAGGACTGTCGTCACACGGCATCCACACCTCCTTGTTGGACCAGTGTCTGGTTTACGTCTCATGGAGCTGTACCAGTAAAACCTGTATACATAGCAGAGGATCAGAACCTTCCTAATTATAGTACATACATAGAGCAGAGCTATAATTACATCAACTACACACCCACAGGCGTAAGGAGAAGCAGAACAGAAACTCTGATGGTAGAAAGAACGTAGAAAGGAACTGAGAAAGCGTGTGTGGGGGGGGTATGGGCGAGCCTCAGACACTACACGTAACACTTCATGATGTGATCATAGCCTGCCAGACACTGCACATTTTAAACACACACGAACTGACACCTTTATACAGACGGAGTAGGTCTAAATTGAACCAGCAGACTGGACGAACCCTGTCTTGGTCTTTCCTTAAAAACGGATGGAGATTCGACAGAAGTGAGCGATTTTTGGTGCAGTTTTAAGACTGTAGAATTCATTAGAAAATGTACGTATTTTGCTAACTACCAGCACCATTGTTATGCCCATGTCCAACTCAAGTCCAAATGCGGCTCGTATTATCATTTCTGTGGCCCTAGCTTAGAGTCTGGTTGTCTTAAAGTCTTTAGTTGAGAGTCTGGGTTAAATGCAGTTAAATTCTATCCATATAACATAATCACTAATTCCAATTTTGTTTTTATTTTGAATTAATTTAAAATTGTATTTATTTCGTTAAGTAGCAGATTTCATTGGAGTTCAAATTCAATATTTCTGATTGAAGCGTCGTCAGCAGTGGCAAACAAACAACTAAAACTAAAGTTAATTTTCATATCCAACTCGTCATTTCTTTATTGTTTTGCCATTGTACATTTTTGTAACATTCTTATTGTAAAAGCAACGGAGAGGAAACGAAACAGGTTCCTTTCAAAGTCACCACTTGAATCATGCTTTTGATTTAAAAAAAAAAGAGAGACAGGAATCATTTTAGAGATGCTCCACAAAACAGCAAAATCGCAAACAAATACAAAGCCTTTTCTCCTATTTACATTGTAAACCCCTCCATCACACATACACATATGCATGACTCAGACCACCAAAAGTCCACCTGTAAAAAACGCTCTCAGGGAGGAGCCGGTGTCTTGATGTGAGACAGCAGCTTCAGAGCCAGAGTTCAGGGACTCTGGTGTAATACAGTGGTACAGAGACAGAATCTGAGGCGAAGTAAAGAGAAGACTGTCGTTGAGATGCAGGAAATCTAAACCAAGTCCAAATTACTGAGAAGAAATCCTGGAGAAAGAGGCCAGTCAAGGTAAATAGTTTTGGCTACATTTAACTCTCTTCCAACGGTTCAATAAAGGTGCATTTCAGCAGCATGAACTAGTACCAGGTGCAAAGAACAGTAACAGGAAAGCACCGAAAGAACCAGCATGAGTTTGAAGATGGATTTTGATGTAGATGTAGGACTGTTGGGAGGCTTTAGTCCATTTACATTTTTCTGACTGGTCCCCACAATATTCTGATCCTTCTTGACAGTTTGTAGGAACCAACAGGACCCTGAGTTCCAACTAGTGGCACCTTATATTAACTATAAGCAACAGTTCTTGTCATTTTATATAATTTTTTAATTAACCATACATCCTGCACTATCCTACCATCACGTCCGAAAGCACACTACATCTGGTCTATGGTCTGATGGGATTCCCGCCAAGTTTGTGCAATTGCAGGAACCTAGTGACAGGAACCAGAAGCACTGGAAGCTTGGTGGCTATTTTTGCACATGCTTTTGAGTGACTCTGCATCAAATTTCTGTGGTAGAAATGTAGCCAACGTTACTGAAGACGGTACCTTTAAAGTGGAATAGATCCTGACATTAAGTGAAAGAAATACAAATAAAACATTGGGGGAAATTAAGAACAGTAACGGGGGAGTAGGGGGGGGGATCAGGAGAGAGTACATACACCCATTCATTCTTGTATTAAGTCAACAGACCCCTCACCCCTGGAGTATCGGGGGTGGTTCTCATCAGGCTACACTTTGACTTCTTTGCAAAAACACCAACTGCTGTTTGTCTATTACCTTGGAACAACAAAGCATCTGTGGCTCCTGTTCAAATGCAGTACTTCCTAACATCTTGTATGCAAAGACATGAAATATTCCACAACCAACTCTAACAGTAGCTACAGTGAACTGCACCTATCTGTGTGTAGTTCCGTTGAAAAGCAGAGCTGAAAAAGTGTATGATGTACGATGATACTCTGGTGGTGACTGCAGAGTTAACTTCACAGTACAATGAAACAGAGTAATACTCTTCCTGGTGTGTTTGCATAGTCAAATAAAAGGTAAAGAACGTCCAGCTACCTTTTGAAAAGGCTGGTTTGGGTCTGAAGCTACTAACTATAATACATCTAGTTTGTCAAGGGATTAGGTAAGGAATAAACCCTGTCCCAGTCCACCTCTGACCTTCTTGGCCCATTTTTAAAAGAAGACAGTGATGTTATGCTATTTTTAGGATTAATAATGTCAACACATGCAAAAGGAATATTACCAATCCTGGGGAGGGGAGGGGTCTCCAGACCTGAACACACCAGTTCCCCACTATTACACTGCTCACTGTCCATTAATGCCTCTGTGACTGCACAAGAAACTCTCGTCCAGTGTTTTATCTCTGTGACAGGTGTGGTTCATCACTCTTTTATAAGACTTGTTAAAGAAGCTAACAATTTGATGTTTATGTTGAAATATACTAAATACTGTAAGTTCTGAGTGTGTTGTTATTGGTCTATAGAGGTCAGGCTGGTTGTCAATCAACTATTGCAATTGTTGCTTTCTAACAGCTTCACTGCTGGATCTTTATCTTCAGAGGCTCTGCTGTGTCATTTTAGTCACTAAGGTTGGGCAAACATGTCCAGTCAACATAATTCCTCTTCATGAAAAGCTGATGCTTCAGAAATTATTTCTCATTGAAAAAAAAAAACAAACAAAACAAAACTGCAAATCAGTGCTTTTGTTTCCTAAAGGGAGCAATTTTTTGCTTAATGACACCAGTGCACATTCAGTATTTTGGAGTTTCTCTTTTTCTATCTAATAGTGTCAAACCCACTGAGTCAGATTGATTTAAAAACATGCACTATACAAATTATTTGGGTTTGATTTATTAGATAATAACATTAGGAGTTTATCATTTGACATCATATAATGTACTCCTACTATTTAACCCAAACTCCAGATTCGTTCATTCCAACATCTCTTTCCACCACTTTGGGGTAAAACAAAAGAAAGAAGCTGCTTTCCATTCTTATTGCATATCAAAAATCCTTTCCAAATTATACACCACTGCACAACAGACTGTAAATTAACAAGAAAACCACTGATGTTTAAAAAGAGAATCTGACTTTGCATCACACCACTGACAGTTGCACTTTTCTGCATTAATTATCAAGCTTCACACTGGTGCGCTGCTAAGGCTACACTGCACTGACGGCACAGTTTGATGAATGTTGTTTAGTTTGCAACTGAAAATGTTATGAAATTTTCAAAAGTTCTATCTGTTTTGACGTGAGCTTTTCCTTTTCTCTAAGCGGCTTTGACTGCTGTAGGACACTGGGTTCACCATTCAGAGCCGTTATGTGGCATTCAGGACCAACAGACCGTAATTTCCACGTTTATAAAAGACCCATTGTTTTTTGAGGAAGAAGATATTTTGATTACAGCGGTGGTTTAACATGGTCACACCAGGACAGGAAAATTTCAGTAAAAAAAAATACTAGAACATTTAAATTATCCTTTATCCGTCCGTACTAGTTAGACATAAATGGTAGGACCATAACCACAGATAGACTCCCACCCTTCCCTCATAGGCCAGGGCTCTGACGCATGAGAAAACAGAAACAAAAAATGTTTCCCAGGATATGATTAAAAAAGAAAATTAAAAAAGAAAAAGAAGTCCAACCGAAAACTCTTATATGATACAAATAAAAATCTAGATAAGTTAGAGTCTTAACAAAAAAAAAAGGAAAAAGAAAATAGAAAGAGATTGGAAAAAATGTGCAGAAACGGTCTTCTGACTAGCTTTGGCCCACTGTGTTTGTGTGCAAGGTTGAAACAGCAGAAGACACAAACTGTCCCACCAGAGCAAAACGTCTCTCTGTCCTGGAGATACAGGGGGAACCAGAGAAAGAGAGGGGGTAGCAGGGGAGACCGCTGGTTCAGCTCTGCCACTCACTATTCTCCCAGTGGGTGGGGCTGTTGTGCCATAAAAAACACCCCTCATGTTCCCACAACATACAAGTCAGTGCTCGCTGGACATTTACGATAAAAAATATATATTAAAAAAAAAAAGAAGAAAAATCGACACCTCCAAAAGAATACAGCAGCGAGTAGGATGACTCAGTCGATCTTAACTGCAGCATAGATTTTTCTGATGAACATGTAAGCTGCGTAGAAGCCGATCGTGCCTGTCAACAGCCAGAACGACAGCACCATCAGGGTTGTGTAGCCAAAGTACAAGAGGGAAGGGATGAACTCCACAATGTCCAGCTAGTGGAGAAGGAGGAGACACAGAGCAGTGTCAGTCTCATTTCTTCTTTATAAAGTGAAAGTCATGCCAACAGCTTAGTACTGCAAGTAACTTTAGAACCAAGCAGTATAATGTTTAATGTTCCTGTGACAAAAAGTCAAAACAAGGAATCCAAGAAAGGATGCAAATCCCTTATGCTGTGATATGAGTGCATCAGTGACCATACAGTATCAAAAGGGAAAATGTGTCCATTCCATTGATGTAGAAACACATATGGATTCTGACATAGGAATTTCAAAGACACGCACAGACACGTGTTTTTCCTAATACAAAACGCCATGGATTTTTGTTTAAATAGGTTAGACCTTATATACCCATAACAAATGTAATGTAACACATGCTATGTAGCTTGTTTTCTTAAATCGGGGATATGAATTGTTTAACCACAAGGAGTAAACTTGTCAGAAAATGTTCTAAAAATGTGCTACAGTTATATGTTTAAGTAGGAAAAGACTTCTAGATATTCAAACTTAGTTTAGTTTTATATACTGTACAAAATCTATGGCCTATTACTTTGAAATAACCTTTTCTGGAAACACCTGTGTTAAGAAAATAAAACTCTTGTCATACAAACTCCTTAACTTAGCTCAAATGAAGAAATCTGCTGTTTAATGTACTGTACACAGGTCAGTGTACATTGACCTTCTACTGATGGTAATTGACATAAGTGTTATGAAATAGTGCCTGGGGATACTGATCTGTTTGGCAAGACAGAAGTTACACTTGTGTTTTACCTTGTTGGCAAAGTAAAATACAGCGTAAATAAGAACGTAGAATGCTGAGCCTCCTGAAACCAGGAAAGTCCTCCACCACCACCGGTAGTCCTGAGACACAAAGACAACACAGTAAATTAAAATTCAAAGGAAATGCAGAGGGGGGGATCAGTTCATAAATTTATTTGTCAAATTGTTCGCAAGTTTAAACAAACTTTCATTCAATTTCAGTCAATTCAGTCAACTAATTAAAAAATATTCAGTCAATAAAAAAATGTGTATCAGACTTACTTCTGCACAGAGCTGAAAATAAACCATGACTATACTGATCTGAGAGCAGGACACCACCAAGATGATGAATACAAGGAAGAGGAACCCAAAGAGGTAATAAAACTGATTCTCCCAAATGGCCTGTAGGGGGAAAACATACATGTGTAGAATATGAGTAAATCTACAAATCTACTGGCTTCTTTATTTTTACTAAGATGCAGTGTTACTCACGCTGAATATAAAGAAGAGCTCAATGAACATGGCACCAAATGGCAATATCCCAGCCATTAGGATTCTGGTGGAAGAACAAAAATATATAAACCTCACAAGTCACTGAAGGAGATGCTTAACCTTTATATCCTAACATTTCTAGCTTTAAAACTCACCCAACAAATTTGTTCATATACCAGCGCTGCTCTGGGACCTGACGAGGAATCTGGTTCGTCCGCACAGGGTTATCGTAAGGCTGTTTGCGGAAGCCAAAGTAATATCCCAGGTAGACCAACGGCATGGAGATACCAAACCACATACAGAGCAGGGCCAGCATTGTGGTGAAGGGAACCTAGTCAAGCAAAGAAAAAGTGGATAGTTAAACAATTAGGGCTGTCAACTGAGTAAAACGTGAAAAGGGGTAGCTGTGGAATAATCATAATTTGTCATGATTAACTGTAATTAAGGTAAATTAAAAAAAAAGGTTATACGTAAATATTACACAAAAAAATATTATTTTGCCTGTGTAATACTAGAAAGAAATGCATTACGTGTGAAGAATTTCTTTCAAAACTTCAAAACAGTGAACCTCTTGTCTCAACAATATTAAACAGTCTAAAGTACATTGCAATCAATTTGACAAATCTGTCAGTCAGCTTGTCAGTCGTAGACCTACTTACTGCAATGCACTCAGTGAGGCTGATCTGACGTGTCTGACCTGAAGCTGAATGTTCACTAGATGAAATGTTATTCCAACCTCATGTAGTGTGAGCAAAAACCAATGTGTTTGTATAAGAGCAAAAGTGAATGAACAATGGAATTATTGAATGTAATGTCATGCACCATTCTGTCTATGCATTAAAATGTATTAATCTTCACAAATGAATTAATGTGCTTAGTTTTAACAAGAATTAGTTTAAACATATTTTACAGTGCTTATTAGACCCTCATTTGTGGTGAACAGGCTGCTTTACTACATTGTCAACCACAAAAATATAGGATTTCTGCACCAGACTTACCGCTCCGGAGGAGTGTTCCCCCCAGATGAAACAATTGAGAATGAAGCAAATTCCAAAAACCACTGCAGGATACAATGTTGCTGTCTACAGAGAAGAATGAAAACAGACAAACTCAGCTGTTGTTTCTTTAATAACACCAACATCTCCAATATTCCTTTGTTTTCATATAAGCTGTAAAAGCAGCACAAAAAAACAACTGAAAACTGTACTCAAAATGTTAAGATAAATTATTAACAAAGGTTTAATTTGAAATGTTTCTGAACGTTTTAACATGATTTTAGGCCCCTCCTTAGAGAATGTAAGGATGTGCTGTTGACTGTCTAAGTACACACAGATACTTCTTGTAGTGCAGTATTTGCTAGCTTGTTGAGGTTTTATTGCCTACTGTTATTTTTATTCTTTTGCTACTATTAAGAGAATAATAAGTTATTTTTAGTGACTTACACAGAATGCTCCTTTCTTCCACCGATGACCCTTCAGTGTGCGATACAATCTGCCAGCAAAGTAACCACCAAACACTCTGAAGACAAAACAGAACCAAACATCAGAGGGGTGCATTTTTAGGAGTGAGCATGACTATAACTTTTCTGGTGATGACCTGTGAAGTCTGGGTGGCTCTTACCCCATGAACATAAAAAGGAAGCAGGAAGTTGTCATCAAGGCCCCTCTACTGGACGGAGACAACATTCCTAACATTGCAACAACTATGGGGAAAATGGACAAAGGAAATTGTCATAGAAATTATTATGGATCCAAGCAGATAGTAATCAATTATTACGTGCAAATAATACGTAAATAATAGTAAAATAAATTATAAAATGTGTATTGAATAGATATATTAGCAACGATAAGATCTGCCAATGAATGTCATCAATGTCTATCAATGTCAACATGGCAGTACGTGACAGTGTGTCATCAAACTGCATCTTTTGACATTCTTTTCAAATAGTGCAAATAGAACATCTAGTACATCTAGTACATCAAGTTGCACTGGTGAACATTTCAAAAGCTGACAGTATTCATTTGGAACCAGAAACAACAGATAGAATTGAAGGGTGAGGAGAGGTTCCCACCTCTAATGTCAACATCTGTAGAAGAACTAATAAAGAAGACAAACTTACAGATTACGATCAGGATCATGCAGAACAGCTGGATTCCTGATCCCAACAGCGAGCTGAGGATCATGGGATACTGAGGCGGCCTGAAGACGTCACCGTGGACATTCTTCCATCCCGACTCTTCCATTGTGTCTTCCTGGTTAGAGAAGAAAAAAAGTTAGTTTTTTTTAGTTTTAATGATATTATTTTTTTCCAAACTGCCAAGATTATTCTAAAATAATTGTATTTAGTCATATATTTTTAATGTATTTGACAATGCTACACAGTTGTGGTTGCTCAATCACAGTGACTTTTTCCTTACAATGTCATCTTCTCTGTTGTAGTTAGCAATGTCTTTCCTCAGAGTGCGGATGATGATCATACTCAGAATACCTTAAGGACAAGAAAGACAAGCACTAATATAATTGCAACACAGTACATTCCCTGTTGCTGAAAAGGAACTTAGGTAGATATTATGTCATCTACAGCAGAGCACACAAAGACAAAGAGCCACTTGAGAAAAGGCATCAGGAATTTCTAATTACATTCTTAACATAATCTTTGCCTCTTTCCTTGTTCTGTCTGAAGATTGAGGTTCATGTTGTTCCGTCAGGTGCGCCACCCAAGACTACCCGGGTGTCACATGAGTTCATTTAAACTTCATGACAATAATTATGCTGGTGGTCAAACTCAAAATGTATGTCTTCTTCTCATACTATAACTGTAGACAACAAGTGCTGGATATGACAGAAAGCATTACAGCACATGAAGATCTTACTTACTTACTAGTTACTGTATAGTTAATGAAGATACAGCAGAGCAGAGAATTAATTACAGACGTACCAGACAGAAAGAAGACGACCACCACAGAGTTGATGATGGAGAACCAGTGAATCTGGACATCACTCATGGTCAGGTACGTGTCCCAACGGGATGCCCACTTCACCTCACTCTCCTGTTTGGAGAGTTAAAGAAAGCAAAATGTTTATTTAAAACTTTTTTTTAAAGTTTTTATTATTTTTAATAAAAAGAAAATCAGTGTTTTCCAACCTTTTTTGAATCACAGCACATATTTTACATTAACAAAAAAATCACTGCCACCAAAAAGCATCACTGAACAACACTTTTCTTTCCCTTTTGAGTTTTGGCCAAGATTTTCATTTTGGTTCATCCCTAATAGAAACTAATTTACTATATAACTAAAAGTGTGCTGTTCACTTTACACCTTTAGGACAGAGAACATTTTGGTTTTCTGACAGAGCTTGATAATATGCACAGTATTTTTAGTATCAAAGGACAAGCTGACTGCTCAAATAAATAAATAAATAATGTAAGTGTCAAAGGTAATAAGGACTAAAACAAAGTTCAAACTATTATAATGTTATTAAAATTTCTACAGGACTGACCTTCCAGTGGACAGAGTATGTAAAAAGGACATCATTCTCTTTGGTTGGATCAATCTCCTGAGGTGCAGAGCCACTGGCTTCAGGCAATGTACAGGTTTTATCTGCTTCCACTGGTTTCAGATCTGAGGATTTGACAAGAAAAGAACAGGAAGCAAATGGCTATGATTTAATTTTTTAAAATTTAATTTCACATTAATTTGAGCTGTTCATCACACCTACCGTCTAATCCCACACTCTGAGGAACAACTTCAAATCGCACAACCCTGTAGTCATCAATTTCACCCTCTTCCACCTTCTCTCTGTGGAAGTAGATGATGAAGGACAGGTGGTTGTGCAGATAAAACTGTGAGGGTAGGAAAAGGAATGAGACAATAATTACTGTCAAAAATTCTGAACTACTCACACAAAATACATCTAGCACAGAGTAAAAACAAATGAACAAAAAAAATGGAGTATTTAGGACACAACTGTATTTTAAACAATACAAAATGCAATGAGAGAGAAATTTGAAACGAGTAAACCAAAGCCTTGACAACGATTGTTCAAAAAAGTCCATTTACCTTGCTGTTATCAAAGAAGCCCAGTCTATAACCATGTTCAAACTGTACATCCTTATTCACATCTTTCTTCTGCTCTTCCTCACCAGCTGCCTCTCTAACTGGGTAAAATTCTAACCTTGTGGCAACTGGCAGGTTATCAGCAATCCTGGAATCCAGAGAGAAGTGGAATTGATTAAATGAAGAAAACTAACACATTGACTTTGATACAATGTAAAAGCTGCAACGGTCACAAAGCAACCTGTACAAACAAACGGGTTTATACTCAGGTACCACTCAGGTTCACTCCTATATAGTTAACAGTGTTGAGGTAGGAGTGACAGGTGCATTTTATTCACGAGATCTATAAAAGTTGTTACAGCTGATATAGATTCTGTCATCAGTATAGCAGTACACAAAGACCTAAAGTAGAAAAAGCAGAACTGTAACTACACAGTAGCTAGGATGAGGGTCTGATCAAATACAACATGTCTGTATAGGTTCTCAGTCATCCAGGTAATTTAATTAATTTTAATTAATTTGAAGACGCCTCTTGGATGAAAGGTTAAACATCTTAAAAAAAAAAAAAAAACCTACTTCGTCCAGTTGCCCTCGATGTAACTATTTTTGGGACAAATCGACTTAGTCAAAAACGGTAGAGTGCAAACAATTTGAAAAGGGAAGCGTACTGCGATAAAAGTACATTGACAGAATTGTGGAGTATGTTTTAGTGTTCCTAAACATACATAAATGGTATTTTACTTTTCCAAACTTACTATCAGCAGTTCCTGAAATATTTTTTACAGGTCGTCAAACATGCTGTCACACAGATAATAAATTGCAAAAATCACACTGAACAGGAAGTTTTGTATTTAAATTTATAATGACTTCTAATTTTGAACACAACATTGAATGAAGGGTGTGCTTACAGGTGGACATAATACTCCTCCTGGATTCTTTCTGCTATGAGTCTGCTTTCTGCTACACTGAGAGTTTTCTTGCTGCACATCAGCTCACATCTCTTGTCTTTGTCCATCTCTACACTGTAAAGCGTGTTAACAATACGGTCCCCGCGTAGCACCTCCCCTGTAAAACAGATTGTATGATTGATTAAAATGTTATGAATATTTTTTTTAATCTCTCAGAATAGTAACAGTCAATGTCACATGGGTTAACAAATGCCAAAAAACAGATGTCTGCATTCAACTTACCCAAGTTCTCTCCCTTGTAGACAACAGAGTCTGGCTTACAGAAAGGAAGGGAGTAATATTCATAAGGAAGCTGGGTGCGAGAGCTGGTCAGCTTCACCGCCTTAAACAAATAAAAATAAATAGATAAAAAAATAATAAGAAGAATAAAAAAAGATATATATATATATATATATACATATATATATACATACATACATATATATATATATATATATATAAAACTAATAACTGCATGAGGAAATGCTTTGCAACAACCTGGATTCACTGAAAATGTACACAAATGAGCAAGTGTATTGTCCATAACATCAACATCATGTGTAATATGCTCATGGCTAGAATTAATCTGCTTTAAAACACTCCCCGAGTCTTTAAGCCTCACCTTAATGTCCACTACGTCACCCTTATGAAAATCCCGGGGAGCGACTCCAGGAACGTAGAAAGGCTGGGCCACTGGGAATAAGGATACCAACAACAAGGCCCACCACGTCTCCTAAAACACAGTGCCAATAATATTTTGGTTTTAAATGCGGTACAAATATCACACTCATATTTTAGAGATCAAGCGGGGCACGTTGGGTTTAGAAAAAACTTAAGGAGAGATAGTACATGTACACCTACAACAATTTGTGTGAAATGTTCTCAGGCATAAAACATGGAGACTTTTGAATCAATTATACATGACCAATTACCAAAGCGATGCTCAAACGGGGCAGATAATAATAACAGGAACATCAGCTATAACTTCATTACATGTTATAATGTCTGCTGCTTTGAATTCAAAATTTCACCAGGATTAAATCACTGGCTGGATGGTAATACACATTACATAATAACTACAGGTGGGTAAGAATAAGAGGATGCGCAATGTGAAAAAATAACCAAAAAAAAAAAAAACCTCTACTCTCTTTAAATTTTGGGGCTTGTACTATCAAAATGATTAGACATTGACTGCCTAATGGCAGTGGCAGGTGTTCTGGGTACTTCCAGATCTCTAACAAGTATCATGATACTTGAGAAACTTGTGAAAAAGTATCATGTTGGAGATCCAAAGTGTTAACCAAAACACCAGAAATATTCATTAGGTCTCAAAATGAGGTAGAAAGTTGTACAATTTTGGTTCATTGTGAAATGAGCAATACAGCATATTAGATGGCTAAACAGATTTCTTTAGGACACACAAAACATTTTCTAATTAGCAACAACTCCCAATAGACAAACCATACAGTCACAATTGTAGGAGGAGTTTGGACTAAGTTATAATGACATCCCAGTAATGCTTTCAAATGTGGATGATGCATATTCATAATTACGGAACATAATACTAACAATCCAGAACAGTAAAAACGTTATCTTTAATTACAGTCATTTATTGTGATCATTTAAGATTTTCTGGAATGTTGTAATTTAAATAGTATTTCAGTCAGCAGAAGTTTTCCTCCATCACAGCTAATAGTATTTTAGCATTACACTGTCTCAATAACATTAAAATCTCAGCAGCGACGGTCCCTTAGCATCTCACTATCATCATTAGTTTTAGTTTATAAGAAGAAACAGTATGACTATGGTTTACTATTTAAAAGCACGGATTCGTGGACAAGGATTCAACACGAGTGCACTGTCAAGTTTTACAAAATAAGTTATCCAAAAGCTATGCTGGTATGTTTGAACTGTGTTCAAGATTCATGATTTTCTTGTCAGACTTAAACCTTACACTCGTTAAACTAACAGCGTTAACACCAATGCTACTTGACATCGATGCTAACTGCTAGTGTTTAGACAAAGTTCCTGGGAGCTCCTTTCTCGGCGAATATCAGGACAAAACTAGAAACGTGCTTATGAAAAAATAACACTTAATTAATCAACAAATGTCACCAAAATGAGTTTTAAATAACAGTTTACTGACGAACGAGGCTACGAGACATTAGCTCCCAAGGCTAAGTATAGCCACCAGTTAGCCGCACTGTCAATACTCAAGTAGCGTCGGTGATCTGTAAACAAGCCCTTTCTTGGGCTTTAAATGTTCTACGAGTTCCGCTGTAAACCAATGCTCTGTTAGACCTATAAATTTGGGTTTTATTAAATGTGGAAACTGTGAAAAGAATGCACATTTTTTAAGAGAAAAAGAGTTCGCTTTATCACTCACCATAGCCGCGGCCGCCATTTTGAATACGTGTCATTAGTGACGTCGCGGTAGGTGTGTTTCCTATTTTTAATTGTGTTTGTTCTGGCTCTCTGAGGCTCTCTGTGGCTGAAACGAGAAGTTAAGTAATACTGATGGAATTTCTGTTCTGACAGTGCTGCTAGAACAGTTCAAAGAACGTCCAAAGGAGTTGCACTGTCTTTGTGGATTTAGAAAAGCACACGATAGAGGGCCTTGGGAGGAACTGTGGTACTGTATGACAGCGGCTTCAATAGGTGATGCGCGCCTCCCCTGGGGGGCGCCAAAGAGTCACAGGGGAAGTTGCATGCATTAAGTGAGATTTGCTGTTGCAAATATTCGTTAATGAATGCTCTTTCTAAAACGTTATGAAAATAAAGCGTTTTCAAATACATTTTTACAGTTTATATTGAAACTCCTCATTGCCAGGAGCACACATAAGATACAGTTACTGCAGAGGCATGTGTGGGTTAAGGCAGGCAGACAGGATTTGGGGGAAGGCTGTCCTTACCTACTCTGTAGGGGAGGCTCACATTCACCCAATTTAAAAACCCCAGCTGTATGACAAAGTCAGGAATGGTAGAAAAGTACGTGATGATTTTGAATGTATAAATCTAGTGAGACAGTATTGAGGTGTGCTGTCGGAGTGACTGATAGGTTCATGGTAGGGTGGGGTTTCATCAGCTCTGGGCCCCTTTTTGTTTGCTATGCTGATGGACAGGTCAATTGATGAGATCAGACAGGAGGCTCCATGGACAATGACGAACTAATTTTTTTTCCATATTTTTTTCTTGAATTTATTTACAAACCTATGTTATTTGGTGGGGGTGAAATTATTATGAGATACCAATACAAAATATGTTAATTAAGTGAATAATTATTTGTCATTGTGACACAGCACACCACTCACACAATGAAAAACCTTCCGGACACAAGAGATACAGATGAAAAGGCATCTGTATCTCTCTGTGATATTAACGTTGAGTTTTGTCAAAAGAGAAATTATAGATGTAATGTCTTTGTCAAAGTAATGAATTCTACATTAGTACTGACTAAAGTCTGACTAAAAGACAATACTTCTTGTTTTAGAATAGTTTATTGAATGTTTTTTTTTTTCAAAGCATTCTGGAACTAAGCATTCAATACAAAAAGCAGAATTTTCTTTATCATAAAGAAATTAATCTGTTAAAAAGTTCCAAAATTAAATATGAGTATCTTTTATTAATAATCTTCAGTTGTTGACTAGATTATCATTTGAGCATTCGGTGACTGTGTGATAGCTCTTCTATTTACATGAAACTAGTAGATATTGTAAGGATTATAGGAGAGTAGTCCAACAGCAGTCAAACGGTTACATACGCAGTATTTTCAAGATGTTAGGAGCAGTGCAATTTGCAAAAATAAATTATTTTCTTTTAAAACAGACAATCAAAAATATGAAGACAAATATATTATCATATTACTTAATGTTTCAGAAACAAAGTGGACACAGAAAGTATGTAATATGCTTGAATAGAAACAACCATGGCTAAAGACTCATTTGAGGAGAAATGCTGTAAGAAACCACAACATATTGAAATTCATATCACATGAGAAATCATTTAGGCATACTATATCCTTTGGCTTACATTTTGTGTCCACGCTCTGCCATCACATTGAGACAATATATACATTTAACCCAAAAGCCAGTGAGCTAAACAGTATGTGCGCTAGCCTCCTTTTTGTCATTCCTGAAGTACAGGGATGCCAGTGATTCCTCCACTGCCATAAGAAAAAACAGCAGTGTAAACTCTATGCAAATCTATGTAAGCTAGACAGATTGCACAACTCAAACCACCTTCTAGCGGTGTCTTTGCCAATTTCAATCTATTTAATAGACATGACTTTCAGTGGAGAGGCAATGGGTTTCTTCTGTGAACAAAAGAAAACTGTTTTATGAACATACATAGCTTCAATTGGAATTCCAGGACAAGAGTAGCCCTGCTGTTTCAAGACTCTCTGCTGCATATGTAGCCCCCTTATGTCAAAAAAAAAAGTTGAGATATTTTGAATTAGTTAGCTCTTTAAATTCTTGTTTACCCTCATCATTGTTCTCCAAATTTGGTAAATTCCAGGAAGGTCATCTGCAACCAGAAAATGTGTTGTTTGTTGTGCTTCTACCTTAGCCATTTGTAAAAAAAACACAAGAGCATAATTTTAGGTGACCTGAATAACTTTTGCCACGTCCATTGTTGCTGTGTTTTATAAATGGGAATGAGAAAGTTAAAGAGAAACTAACAAAGTATTTAAGCTACAGTTCAGAATGTAGGAAATGTCTGACTGGATGACTCCTTCTCTTGGAGATATGGACGCAGACTTTTCTCAAGGTTGCTGCTGGTACTGTGTCTCTGTGGCTGTGTAGAAATCCCCCAGGACGCTCTGCAGGTAATCAAAAGTAGGACGTTCCTCTGGCTTGTTCTTCCAGCACTGCATCATTATATCATAAAGTTCACGGGGCCAGCTCTCCAGGCGTTGCATTCTGCTGCCTTTCTCCAGGAATCGAATCACCTCTGGGTTTGTCATCCCTGAATTCAAGTGGAGTGGGAGACACTCAGTTGTGGATTTGCGTTCTAAAAACAGGCCTTGGTTCACATTCCTGTACATTAAAGATGATGCCGTTGATCTTCTTACCTGGGTAGGGTGTACGTCCATAGCTAATAATCTCCGTTAGCAGGACCCCGAAGGACCAGACATCAGATTTAATGGTAAAAGAGCCATAGTTGATGGCTTCAGGTGCCGTCCATTTAATAGGGAATTTGGCTCCTTTTTGATTGGAAGAAGGTTTAAAATAAAATCTTTATTATTCCCAATATTAATATTAATATTAATGAATAAAATCTAAAGCTGTTTTTTAATCCTTGATGGATAATGAACATATTACTATACTACCATTTCTGACCATTAGCGGGAGCCAGAACAAAGTCAACCTCTGACAGCAGCACTGACAGTTATGATATAGAAATCTCTTCTATTTTATTGAATAGATGTTCATCTTTGGTGAGAAAATGAATGATTTTTAAACAAATGTTATTTGGCAAATTTGGGAACAATTAAAAAAAAAATTCAGATCAGACTTTTGATCAGGTCCGTACAGTAGATATTTTATATATATCTATTTTACTATATATTTGTCATGTATTTTAAGTGAGCTCTAACCTACCTTCTCTGGCTGTGTACTCGTTGTCTTCAATGATACGGGCGAGGCCAAAGTCAGCGATTTTGCAGACTAATGCCTTACTGACCAGGATGTTGGCTGCTCTAAGGTCTCTGTGGATGTAGTTCCTCTGCTCGATGTAGGCCATGCCCTCTGCAGTCTGAAGGAAAGAGTCATGTATTTACTATTGTTAGCCTTTCCTTATTAGAATTCAATGTGGCCAATGCATTTTCCACTAATTGTACAGTAGTTGGAAAAATTCTAAGGTTTAGCTAAATTAGCTAAATTTTGTTATTATTATCAGTAATTTTCCACTAATTGTACAGTAGTTGGAAAAATTCTAAGGTTTAGCTAAATTAGCTAAATTATGTTATTATTATCAGTATATAATATATATAACATATATATATATTATATTAATATATATAATATATTATATACTATATAGTATATAGTATATAATATATATAGTATATAATAATAATGTTATTATTATAATATAATATTATTTATATTATTATATAAATAATGTTGTTATTATTATGTTAAATGTTAGCTAAATTACTTAGATAATAATACCTAGAAAGAAAACGCAGTAATCGAAATCTAAATTTGTGTGCACTGCTTAACTCAGTAATTTACAAACAAATGCGAACTGTTGCAGTTGTGTTTTTTTAATTATCTAAGTCTCTTTTAATTACTCAATAAATTTCAGTCTTTGTGTGAAGAGTTATTAAGATTTGAAGTGCATTAGCCAGACACACCCACCTTCAATTGTTTTTGTGTCATCGCCAAACAAGAACAACTGGTCAAATTTGACGAGTTAAAAACACATCACATTCCGTTCCTCTTTCTTTCTTGCATTTCTTTCCCCGTCCCATTTTCACTGAGTTGATCTAAAAACTATTATTTATTCACTGCAGAATGATTTGTCTTTGTTCGTTTATGCAACAGTGACGGGTAGTATAATGAAATACTTCTGTTATGTGATTTATTATTGAATCCAGAAGATGACTGTATTTCCTTACGTATACATTTTGAGGCATTTTTATTTGGTGGTGTGCCACAGGATGAGATTCATTGAACAGTGGGATGTTGCTCATTTAGTATTTGAACCTTCCCAAATACTCTCCTCAATTGTATGCCAATCAACAACGTCATTTTTTTAAAGCTTTGTTCAAAAGTATGTGTGACGTGAAGGGCTTGTGATGTGTCTTACCTGGGCAGAGAAGTCGATGAGCTTTGGTAGTTGAATGCGGTTTCCTTCATCACTCTTTAAAAAGTCTAATAAACTACCTGTAGGCCACAAACACAACACACATCAGTAAAACATCTGCTCTCTAGTCAAAATATAGACGTACACACATTTTTTACACTAATTCTCATTAGTGACTAGGTTTCTTGGACTCGGACCCTCAAGACTCAACTTGGATGTAAACTTTTTTTACTTAACGCAAAATTGGACTAGGGCTGGCACGTTTGACCCAGACTCTCACTAAAACCCTGTGGACCTAAATTTTACATATTCTTGGTGCATTGAGGATTTTAAATTCTGGGGAAATTGAATCTCTGTCCGATGTGTCAGTCAGACTAAGCTCAACTAAGTTTGCTCTTGAATCGTGAGTCACACACAGCTAGATTTAAGTCGCAGTCCAGGACTTGAATGTGATCACTGGGAACTTAATCATTGTCATTCAAGCAATCTTTAGAAAGTACAGCAGGAGATTCCTGTGAGAATTTGCATTCTACTGATAGTTTACATAATAAGTAGCGTTGAGATTTGAAGTTTGGACGGGGCTGTATCCTGTTAAAACCAGAAATTCATCGAGACTTTTATTGGATGCCTTTAACTGCGAGTCACATTGTGTCTACACATTTGAGGCTTTGTCATCTATTTTCACAATTTACCAAAATAAGGTTATTAATAGACGTTGTCTAATTTTTAGACTGACTTGCATTTTACACACACACACACAGACACACACATGAACACACCCTTCTCCATGTACTCTGTGATAATATAAATAGGCTCCTCTTTGGTGACTACGGCATGAAGTCGGACCAGTTTGTCGTGCTGCAGCGTCTTCATCAGGTTTGCCTCTGCCATGAAGGCTTCCACAGACATGCTGCCAGGTTTCATAGTCTTTACTGCCACCTTGGTGTGTTTATTGTACGTTGCTAAAAGCAAAACAGCATGGGGCGTTAGGAGTAATTGTGAGCTGTAAAAAAACACATGATAACTGAACAGTTTAGTTAGATCTTACCCATCCAGACTTCCCCAAACTGGCCGGCTCCAAGTTTCTTGTCCAGTTTAAGAGATGATCGAGGAATTTCCCAGGCATCTTTTTCCCATGGCATTTCAGGCTTAAGACTCACACAGGGGGTGGTCAGGTTTTGGCAGAGACCGTCTCCCTGCTCTGCAGTCATCGTGCAAAAAAAGCCACGTTTTAATTCCAGGTTTAAAATATATATTTTTAAGAGTCAATTATGAGGTTTATAAAACATCATGCTCCACATAGCTCGTGGTCAATAACTGTCAACAGGAACAATCAACTGTCACCACTCTGCACTATACAATAACAACAGTTGGGTGTTCAGAATTGGCAGGTGCTGTACTCACTCTTGTAATGGTTGACCAGCTCCTGCAGAGTGACGAAGGTGATGCGAGGAGAGATGTAAAAGCCTCCATTGTCCAGGGTTCGGATCTTGTAATGTTTGACTGTGACACCTGACTGCATGTCGTTGTCTCTCACAGACAGAGAATAGCTACCTGTTGAAGAAGAAGAAGAACAAGAAGAAAAATGTTGACCTAACTGACAATTACTTCTACTTTTCTTTTTATTTCGGCTTTGTCCCTTTTTTCAGGGGTTGCCACAGCGAATCATTGATTTCCATAATACCCTGTTCTCTGCATCTTCTACTCTGACTATTTCTATTTAAAAAATAAATACATTTTATTAACATTTAAATTTAAATTTAGTCTGACAATTACTTCTACTAACACACAGATAAATATGGTCAGATAATAGGGTAGAAAATGGCTCAGGGCAGCATGTAGCAACCATCAAACTACTGAACACAGTAACCCTAGAGATTCAACTGCAGGTTTGGGACTTTTTAAAATTTGTTTAAAGCTTCAATAAAGCTCAACTTGAGCACTGACTGCTCTAGTTTGATATTTGAATGTGTTTGAAGAGTATAACCAAGGGCTTTTAGAAGAAAAGCCCCAATGTAAGAGATACAGTCTGTATAAGGATTACAGCTGCTTTCTACTTTTCCCAACAACTGCATCGCTATGTCAACATTAGCTTGACAGACCAAGTGGAGTTTGGGCTGTTCACAGTGTTTATCTCTTGACCACTCTACAAAACAACATACAAAAGTGTTGTTTTTTCCTTCACATACCCTTGGTGGTCTCACTGTCTCTGATCATGAAGGACCCCACTTTGTTCCCTGGGGCCTGCAGCTGCCGTTCAGCATCTTTTCTGCTCACGCCTTTGAAGAACCACCTCCACAACAGGAAACAGATCAGTTAGTGCTGATATGTCTGAGCTTCAGTTCCTCTTTTTGATGCCTTTTGTTTTTACATTCATATCAAAGTGGTTTGTTTTTTTTGTACAATTCTTAATTCGGTCAAATCTGCAACTATACAGTGTAGTGTTTGCTATTTCTTCTAAGGTTTCTACATCACATTGTATATCAAACCTTGAGTGATTGACTTGTTTCGTATGGCCATGCAGCGAGTACTGCACGTAGTGATGTGAGGAAAACAGTTGGTAGGTGTAGGCAATATATTAATATAGTTGACTAATGTTTTGAAAAAAAAAGGCTTTTAGACAGATAACAGCCAAGAAGATTGGTAAACATCAAATTGTCGGTGCACAAAAAAACCCAGGAATGTGTCATAAATACCAAGAGAAAAAATGTAACAACAAAATTATGTGAGTTGTGTTGGACTTACTCCTCAACCTCCAGAGTATCTTTGGCCACATAATTACTGGGGATGTAACCTTCCTGCCCTGAACTCAGAGACATAGCCCTCCACCACTCTCCCATTCTGCAATGATGGACAAATAGAAAATGGCGTGTTAACAAATCCACCAGATAAAAACAAAAACATTTTTATGTTGTAAATGTGTCACTCACTCTTCTAAGATCTTCAGCTTATCCCCCTTCTTAAAGCCGAGGTCTCCATCATGAATGGCATCATAGTCGTAGAGAGCCACGGCTACACTCTCTCCTAAAGCAGGGAAAGGAAAATTAGGAAAGATTTGTTTACATGAAGCAGTGACATATGCTGTGGTGTGTGGTAACAGAAACTGTGTTGTCTCAAAGACAGGCGACCGAGCTAGAGGTGGCTAAACATAAAGTGATCAGAGGAAAAGGTTGAAATGTGTTTGTTGTTGTTGTTGGTATGAAGTTAAAAATGGAAGGTTTAGATTAGGGATGGCTCGATCCAGTACTCAGGGTCAGCATTGGTCTGATATTGGTCAAAATTTCAGGATATAAATCCAAAGAAACAGCTATGGCTTGTCCAACAGGCCATACACAGGGACAATAGCATTTAGCTTTAGCTCAGAGTCTTTGGGCAGTAAATGTTGCAGTAGGAAAAGTGAGGAAAACAAGATAAGAATAAAACAGGTTAAGATGGAGGTCAATGAGCGTACGATAAGCAATAAGCGTACATTTGGACATTACAACACAGGTTCCGGTCTAGTCTGACAGTAATGCAGCAGCTAAATGTTGAGGGACAATGTGGAAGACGTAGAGAAAGCTGCCCACTGCTCTCTTTGGTGATGGGGTGTCATAATGTGTCACAATGACAAGTAGTTCACTTTCCTTTCCTTCTTTCCTTTCTCAAAGGTACACACACACACACACACACACACACACACACACAGGGATTTCAATATTCATTATTTGTAATGAAAACTGATGAAATTGTCGGGTGAAAGTTCCATAAATACAGAACATTAAGAAAAACAAACAAAAACAAACAAAGCAGGCCAAACAAAATGACGGACAAAACTGTAGAATATCGACAAAAAAAGTAAAAATCTGAAAATAAAAAAATAGAAAAATAGAAATTGTTAGTAAAAGCTACAAGAAATAATTTAGTTTTTTTTGTTGTTGTTCTGGTTTAAGCAGGTCTGACAATAGACAGTGTATGAGATCCGTGCAGAGACATCCACAATCGGAATGAACTGGTTTTGGAGTTGGCTTGGTTCCAAGGTTTATTTGTAAATTACCATTTGATGTAAATTAAGGGGAGATAATAGTATGTAAAAATTAAAGACGTGGATGGAAACCCTGTATAGTTGAAAGCAGGGCTGTTAAACAGGATTCAAACATCAGCTATGTTGTTCAGACACAAACATGTAAATGTGTTCATTTGAATGTTGAAAGGGACACGACTCACCGGAAGAATTGGCCTGTGTTTTGCCCTGCACGGAAGAAGACAGAGTGCTGTTAAGAGACTGAAGTCCAAGGTCATCGATATTGGCTATCAGGTTTTTTTTATACATTTTACTTTATGAAAGGGGGAAATGGACTTCTTATGTGTTTGAAACCTCAGATTATCATACATCAAAATTGTGTTTTCAAAATGTAACCAACACAATTAAGTACACAATATATTCTGCTAGTGCTGTATCATAAGGTAGAAACTAAAATCATCTTGGAGGATCCAAGAAACTGACATAATATTCCATTGAAGAGGATGTGATCAAGCACCCTTTAAGAATGTGTTTACTGTTGACTGAGTATTTATGTCTTTTTTGCTAAACTGTTTATATCATCATTACAGAATTGAAACTGATGTGTCCATTTTCTTCTATGCACTATAAAAAACACTGACTAACCACAGAAGATAGAGTTCTTGAAAAAGGAAGCAAAGTAGACTGTGTCCTACCAGTTGAAAATATCAGACTGCAGATGGTGTTTTTTGTTCTTGTGTACGTCATAGGGTTACTTTAAAACGAATACTAGTGACACACATCACAATACAACCTGAAGAGGCTAAGCCTCAAAGACACATGGCAGGCTGACATTTGAGGTATACTGTCCAGATCTGGCGCTGTGCTTGTCACTTCCTCTTTCTTTGTCAAAGGGTTTTCTAGATCTAGAGTGTCAGCACAACGGAAACTGTGGCCAAAGGAGCCATATTTCCATGCTGCAACACCAGAGTAAGTGTGAAGTCACGAGTAAAAGCGTGTAGACTCGGCCTTTATAAATAGATACAATAGAGTAAACAGGCTTCAGATCTTGATCTTCTTTACATTTATTTGAGTTACTGACAAATAATGACAAATAATCTTTAACTTTTTTTTTAATCAGCATGTTGTTAACCCATGTATTGTGTAACCTGTGAATGTTATCTCAAAGCATGACTACTCACAGCCTTGTTTCCTGAGGTAGGGTCTCTGACATAGTGGGCTGACTGAGAGCGTTGCTCTTCGTTGGACGTAGCTTTGCAAAATTCACCGTCCTTCTTTGAACCCACACAGCCCATGGTTCCCTCAGCTGGAGAAAAGAGAGGAGGACTTTATGACAAAGATATATTTTTATTCCATTAACCAACAAAATATACGGTGGAACCTCGAGATACGAGTGTTTCGACATACTAGCATTTGGGGATAGAGAGCAAGCCATTGAGCAAATTGAGATTAACACGCTTACAGACGCCACACTTGGTGGCCGACACTCCGTTCACTGATTTTCTCTCTATTTTGTGCATTAGTCTTCATGATAGTGATGAGTCCTAAGAAAGTGAGTGGTAAGGATGGTGGTGAGAAGAAGAAACGCATGATGACCATGAAAATAAAGCATGAAATTGTCGATAATATGAGAGTGATGCCCGCTAAAGAAAGAATACAATTTAAAAAAAGCAATCCCGCACACTTGTGAAGTGTGACAGGCTCAGTGAGTGAAAACATTTTACTCAAAGGTTTTGTACACGCGCTGCCCTTTCAAATGGTATTTTTAGCCGAATGAGAAATCTTCAGTGAAATGAAAACACTTGTTTTCATGTGTACTTTGTGTACTGACTGTGACTTAGACCGATGATAACAATTTTAATCTGTGTTAATCTTCACACATTCATTAACGTGCTAATTCGGGCAGTCCTAGTAAAAAGTCAAAACCTTTTGTGACTACAAAATCCATCTACAAAATCTACAAAATGTTGATCCACTTGTATCTAATTTTTCCCCATTAAAATTATCTAAAAACCAATTAATTCATTTCAGCCCCCCAGAAATATACTATTAATAATTAAATTAACCCCATCTAATAATCAAAAACATAAATATAAACAAATATACTGATAATATAAAATAATAACAATTAAGAAAAAAAAATATATTATTATTTTAAAAATGGATACAATAACCCAACGAGGGACAGTAAGTGAGACAGGGCCACAGAGTGTCGGGGTCACCAAGGTAGGAGAAGGACTGGGAGTGAGGAGAGAGAGAAAGGGAATGAGAGAAATAAGGTAAAATGACTCAGTCGGGGACAGTGAGCGTCACAGTGCGACGGTGTCGAGTGGAAAACTGGAGCTCGGTTGAGCACTCGTAACTCGATGTTTACTCGTATCACAAGGAAACTCTTACCTACTCGTAACCCCTGGTATTTCAGGGAGCTCGTATCTTGAAGCTCCACTGTATATTTTCAATAGGACACTGGCCTAGACTGTCTGTAGGGCAGTTTAACAGACAATGTATTTCCACAAAGATTGTCTCCTTTGTGTCTTTGTAAAAAATGAAGACGTTTAGCAAACTATCAACAATTTGTGTTGGATTCCCGTATAACACTGACTTCTTTGGAAATGTACATGCGGGATAATGCTAAAAACGAAGCGCCTACCAATGGACATGACAACCGTAATGCAGAGGAGTTACTGTTTCATTTGTTTTATGTAAATGTCTACTGAAGAGAGGACAATGAATGGATTGTGATTCCAGATAGAAGCTGTGTTTTGCACTTGTCTTTGTGTGGTTTAAGAGAAGTTATATCATTTGTATATCATCTCTATAGTGCTTGTAGCCACAGCTCAATGATCACAAAGACAGTAATCTTCATCTGTGAATATGATGATTATTTTCTGACATCACATGTCACAATTGACAAGTCAGACCGAAACATCCCCTAAAACTGAAGCACCAGAACATTTCAACACAGGTCAAAAAAATGTCTTCATACATATTTATCTTTTTACCATCACCATTTACAGACACATCACTAGCGTTGCTGCTCACAGTTCGACAAATAGAGATGGAAAATATTTCATTTGAACATTGAGACACAGGAAGTCCCATAGGTCAAAGCTGGTGGTTCGCATGCTTCTCTTTTCTCTCTTTTTTTTTTTTTTTTTCGAGCCATGTTCCTCTTTTAACCTAACCTAGGCCACACCAGGTTTCTCTGGCTGTTTCCATTCTCATTTAAACTTCTGCAACAAAACCAAAATCAACCCTTATGGTAATTCTTCACCATTTTTCAACATATTTTTGGTATCAAAGCATTTATTTATTGGACTTTAACAACCCTCAACAAAACATGCATTTATACCACGTAGTGCAGAGATGTGGTTAGTACTTCATAGCACTGGTTTTTAACCTCATTTAGCCAAATGTTTCAGTGCAGAGTTTACCCATGGTGAAACCTACTTTTCAACCAATTCCAGCCAAATGAACCCTTTCCAAGTGTTACACAAGATCCATGCATTTTTTAAATAAAATGTTTCTTTATCGTTCTCTTCACTTTCCTCATTCTTATAAATATGACACAACTTAATGATAAAAAGAAAGTGGAATATCAAAAATGAAAAATAATAAAGTTAACACAACAGCTCCACAACAAGATTTTACACAATCTATTTTTGTGACATGATTATGCTGTTGGCAGGTAAATTGACAGTCCACCCAAGAGGCCACAAATGAATACAAGGTATCCAAAAATAATTACAGCTAGGACAACTGGACGGAGTCGGCTTCTCCAGCCTCTTGGATGAGAGGTGAAACGTCTTCAAGAAACCTGCTCCGTCCAGTTGCCCTTGATGTAACTGTTTTTGGATAGCATGACCTGGATGACTGAGAACCTACACAGACAAAATGAATACAAGGTACGATGAAGAAGTAAAACTAATGTGTCTGCGTTTGGAAATGAAAGCATTAAAATGGTCCTTAAAGCTGTTGTTGTTTTGCACTTTTACAAAGTTGAATTACTTTGTGAAAGTCAGGTACCAACGTGTTCAGCAGTTTTTTTAAGGATATGAAAATGAACTTTTTTTTCGACTGAGGCTTTCATTTCTTTGCTTCGGACACTTCTCCTCCTCATTCGCTCCCCTCTCCACCTCTTTTAAGGAGAATTCTTAAATAAGACATTTCACTTCTCTATCTCGGTAGTATTCATGCTTAGTTTGATTTCAAAATAGCAGCATGACATCTGCATATGCGTCATTGCCATCTCATCTGATGATGAGATGGCAAGGAGTTGAATCTGTCTATGAAGCTTTGTTTTTTAGCTCTTCACTACATTCTTCCCCAGAAAGGAATGCAATGCAACAACATCCTACTGTAAGGATGTTCTGAGTGAAAGCACATTCTTCTCTGTATCAAGACATGTTCTACCACAGAGCCCTCAAATACTGTAGAACAACTTACAGTAAGTAGTAGAGACGTAACTGTTTGTCTATGTAAATGAAGCGAGCGTGCACTCTGGTTTGAGAAACACAGAATCCAACTGCTTTTATTATTAAAAGCAAAAGTTTTGGAAGAAATCAGTCACATACAGCGTACATGGCATAGTCTGACCATCAGGGGTTAAAGAGCATCATTGCTCCAGGAAAGAATTTAAAGTATTTTTTTCTATATTTTTTCACGAGGTTTGCGTTAAACAAAGGCTCCATTCACGATCAAGACCAGAAAAAAAAAATGCAAATAAATGTCATCAAAAACATTTTGTTGTTTGGTCAGCAAGGACAACAAAATGACCAAACGGGGTGTACGTGATTCTATGAACATTGAACAACGTCACTCTGAACACTAAAATATAGTGCACAAAAGAGTATGTATTCATTTATTCACTACTCATGTTCCCATTTTAAGTTTCCGTAGGGGGAAAACACCTCCACACAACATAAAAAAACCTTTTTACAAGAACCGCCCTGGATATAAGAAATGGATAATACAGACGTGGAATTACAGACCGCCAACAGGGTCACCTCAAATAATCCTACATCATATATATATATAT